TTTTAGCATCAACACGACAGGGCATACGTACAATAGATCACTCAACACAAATTGCCCAATTCACAATTGTTATAACAGCTCAGTCAACTGGTTGAAGTCCCTGATCGAAAATCCAACATATGCATTGAGATTTTGCGAAGATACCAAATTCTCCCATGATAAGTTTGTCAGAGAATTTTTGCAGAACCTTACAGCAGGGTATGCGCCGGATTCTCCCTTGCAATATTATCACGGACTCTGCCCATGCACAAGCTCGGACAAATGCGAAAACAATGTTGATTTCAACAGCACAAACTGCTTTCAACCTTCAGACAAAATATTTGACCCAATACTTGTTACTATGGCAACAACAGAAACAACGACAACAACAAAAGCAACAACGACTCCCATTACGAAGACTACGACGAAGACAGCAACAACAACGACGACGAAAACAACAACAACAACAAGAACAACAACGCCATCCAAGACAACAACGAAAACAGCAACAACAAAAACAACAACACCATCCAAATCAACAACGAAAACAACGACAACACCTTCCAAGACATCAACAAAAACAGCGACAACACCATCTAAGACAACAATAAAATCAGCAACAACAAGTACAACAGCAAAAACAACAACACCGATCAAAACTCAAACAGCTTTTCTCGTACCAACCACTTCAACGGAACCGACAGCAGCAGGAACAACAGCAACAAGAGCAACAGCAGCGACAACAGCAACAACTACTAATGCTCCTTCTGCTACTACTACCCCGGCGAAAATGACAACTACAACAATAGCAACGACTACTACTACTCCCTCAAGAACAGTAAATTCTTTTGCAAGTACATCAACGCAGACAACAACAACGCCGAAAACAAACTTCACGGCAACAACAAGGGCTATCCCAGTTACAACAACTTCTCCTGCCACAACACCTACAATCACAGCGAAAGCAACAACGACAGCAGCATCGTCAGTGAACATCACCTTCACTACAGCAACGGAAAATCTTTTTGAAGCAAGCACAAACTCAACGACTATTACCACAGCAGCAGAAGCAACAGCAACAACACCAGGAACAATTTCCACACCGGTTACCACAGCCTTTCTAACAGCAACAGCACCTACAGCTTCAACAGCATCAACAATGGCAACAGCATTTGCAGTCGCGGCAACTGCTAATCAATTTACAACAACTCATGCTGTAGTAGAAACGACAAGA